ACCCAAAGCACACAGTCAGAGGCCCCAGAGTGACCACAACTCCTACTCAAGATGGCCAAACCTCATTACATTTTAACCTCACAGAAGCAATATTAAATGTCTGTGTTCTATGAATAATTTCATTTGTTGGATCCTCTCAAAGTCTCTGACCAACTAAATAGTCTCCAACTCCACACCCCTACAAGCTCACAGTTGAAAATCATTATACACGCTGCCCTGGCTGACCTATCCAGAGGGTTTCAGAAGCCAGACCTCTAAGATATGAGCTGAGTAACTAACGCTCCGCTCAAGTGATACCGAGAGCCACCCTTCCCTTTTTTCTCAGTTGGAGAATTTAATTTGACTGTTTTATCAAAACTGCTGCTCCTGAGAGATTAATGGCCCACTATATCTTTCAGATTAAGTTAATTGAGTGCGGAATGGATTGCTAGATTTGAATGGCATGCTCTACATTCAGTTCTTTAAGAAAATATGAAATGAGAGCCTGCAACCAGAGAGCCTGAATTGTCACATGTTTCCAGTTTTCCGGAGGTGTTTCAGTTGCCACACAGCACACTGAGCTACAATCAGACAGTTCTCAGAGGACAAGGTGATGGAGGAAGGTCATTGGTTAAAAAAATAAAGAAACTGCTTGGCTGGCCCTCATAGGTTAAAACATAGGTGGGAGGAGTAAACAGAACAGAATGCTGGGAGGAAGAGGAAGTGAGCTCAGACTCGACAGCTCTCCTCTCGGGAGCAGACGCCTCAGAGACACCATGCTCCCATCTCCAGGGCAGACGCGAGAGCTCTGCTCTCTGAGGCACACGCGATGAAGCTCCGACCCAGGATGGACGTAGGCTAGAATCTCCCTGGTAAGCCACCTCGTGGGCTACACTAGAAATGGGCTAGTCCAGGTGCGAGAATTAGCCTAGAAGAGGCTGAATAGAAATGGGCCAAGCAGTATTTAAAAGAATACAGTGTCCGTGTAATTATTTCGGGGCATAAGCTAGCCAGGCAGCCAGGGTGCTGGGGATGCAGCCCCGCCGCTCTTATTACTACAACAAGGGTTCCAGCCTCCACCCCAAGTGCTCTGAAGAAGCGCTGCGGCCTGGGTCCGCTCTCTTCATACGGCAGGAATAACCAGCCTCACAGAATGTGCTTGAAGTCACTGTTCGGAGGTCAAGTTATCCAGCCAATGCTCACCACAATGACATAGCAGCTTCACCTTGTACATCTCACTATGGTTTTTTTAATGTAAATGTTGCCTTTTTCTCCTTTTTTCACTTGCCTCTTCCTCTGTTCTGAATTTAGATGAATGGCATCCTCTTTAGCTTTCCCCTTTAGCTTCCTCTTTAACTCATCTTTCCAGGTTTGTTTTCCAATGTGGCCCATTATGAACGCCAGGATGTGGCTACATGGTGACTTGTGCATACTTTGTCAACTATAGATACATCCCAGAAACAAAATGCAAGAAAGAAAAAGAAAGACAGAGACAGGGAGAGGATAAATATGAAGGGTGTCAAGAATAAAGGTGAATTAAGAACCTCTAAAGATGGAGCTGAAGGGATGGCTCAGAGGTTAATAGCATGTACTGTTCTTGTAGAAGACTGGAGTCTGGTTCCCAGCACACATCAGGTGACAAACAGCCCCCTATAACTTCAGACGAAGGGGATCCAACAACTTCTGCAGACATACACACATAATGAAAAAAAAAATATTTTGAAAAGAACCTCTGACCATCCTCTCTTCTACAGGCAACAAGAACACTGCCAAATGTTCAGAATGGACTGTCTCACGATATTATTGAAAGTTAATCAAAATCTTGAAAAGACTCCAGGAAGCATTTATTCAAAAAACAAGGGTTCAACCCAAGTGAAGATACTAAATTTCCACAAAGATCCCCCAGGACCAAATGGGTTCCCTAGTAAATTCTACTGAATGTTTAAGTAGGAATTCCAATTTTTCACAAGTTCCTCCCAAACGACGGTGAAAGTAAACGCTCTCATTCACTGACATTCAGACTACCCCAAAACCCAAACTAGACTGCCAACACCATAAGAAAAGCACAGAATAACATCCGTCATGAATATCGATACAAAAACCCTCAACAAAGTTTCTTCACACCAGGACTGTGGTGTTGACTGAGATGGCAAATGCCTGCTGTGGAAACATGAGGACACCAGCTTGGATTCCTGGTGTCTATGTAAAATCTAGGCATAGTGGCATGCACCTGTCATCCCAGCACATGGCCTGGGGGGTACAGACCAACAAGATCAAAGAGTTCACTGGCCAGTCAGACTAGCCAATCAGTGAGCTCCAGGTTCATGGAGACCCTGTCTCAAAAGAGAAGCAAGAAGAATAGAGAAGAACACCCACCATCAGACATTGTAAATTCTAAAATGATGAATTTTGTGATATGCAAATTAATTTCCCATTTAATGAAACTGGCATATATTCATATGGTCAAGGAATACTGAGAAGCAGAGGGCTGCCTAGCCAGAGGGCTCCCACCTCTCCATCCTACTGTGGGCTTTCATTGTAGTACAACATGAAATGCAGACTGAAAACACTCACACCCCATGCCGCCCCTGTTCATCCTCTCCCTGACCTAACAGATTCACAAGCAAGTCTGCAAGGGTCCTACTCATCGGCACTGGTCAAGCATGCATACTACTTTGTTTTTACTGATGCTTTGACCTGTAAGCACTTGTTGATGCTGGAGGGCTGTCCCTCCCTCCCAAGGCCAGCCAGCTACTAGCGGTAGTAAAGGGTTTACCTTTCATAAGCAAACCATCCAAACAGAAGCCACTTCCTCTAGGGAGAAGCTTTTACACCAGGTCATGACACCTGGACCAGCATCCACCTGTCCTAGTTACCTTAGAGGCCAGACAACATGGAGTCAGTGCCCACATTCAACAACTCATTGGAACTGTTCACATCAACAAATAAATATTCCTGCCTGAGCCTTACCCTCACTCCAACACCTCATTGACCCCGATGTGACCACGCCTTGTGTGTTACTTCTTGGTGTCTAGGCTCTGTAAGGAAAGACATCTTAAGAGTCGTATTGTGCCCACGTGGCAGTATACCTGGGCTCAGCAACTCCTGGGCACTGTTAAAATGTTACCCTTCAAACCTGGCTCTTCTTTGTTTTTCCCGCTCGACTTCTTGCATCAGACACTCCCCAGAGTTTCCACACACGGTGTGTCTTAGCTTGCAGTGCCCCATTGACACTGTGCCTTCACACATGCTGGCCTCCATCTAAAGGGCTCTCTTTGGAGATGGAGAGACAACTCTATGGTTAAGAATGCTTGTTGCTCTTGAATGGGATCATAGCTTGGTTCCCAGCACCCATGTCAGGACATTCACAGCCACCAATAATGCCATCTTCAGGGGATCTGACATCCTTTTTGACCTCCATAGGTACCCACATGCACATATATAAACACAGATACATATACACGCATGCATACACATAAAAATAAAAATCCTCAGAGTGCTTTTTGCTACAATTATTCCTAAGGCACCACCAGGGTTCACTTCATACACTCCCTCGGAGCCCACCAGGACAGTCAATCCCGTGCTCCAACAGTACCTGCCACATTTCTCCCTCAAGTTCATGTATCTCTCTGTGCTGACTGGAAGCACCTCTAACATAAGGCCTGTAAGTATCAATATCTGAAGTCCCCAGAGCACAGCTGTGGAGGTTTGAATGAGAATGCCTCCATGGGCTCATATGTTTGAGTGATTGGTCCATAGTGAGTGGAACTGCTTAGGAAGGATTGGGGCATGTCTTAGAGTTTTATTGGTTAGAGCTACAGTGAAAAGACACCATGACCATGACAGCTCTTATAAAAGAAAACATTTCACTGGGGCTTGCTTACAGTTCAGAGGTTTGGTCAGTTATCATCATGGTAGCAACCATAGGAAGAGACAATGGCTTGAACATTTGAGACCTCAAAGTGACCTCCTCTAACTAAGCCACACCTACTCCAACAAGGCCTAATAGTGCCATTCCCTATGGGCCTATGGGGGCCAATTTCTTTCAAACCACCACAGGAGGTATGGTCTTGTTGGAGAAGGTGTGTTACTGGGAGTGTGTTTTGAGATTTCAAAAGTCCATGACGGAAAGACACACACCAGGAGAGGTATAGCAGGATCATATGATAAGTCTGATTTCTAAGGGTTTCTCTCTCTCTCTCTCTCTCTCTCTCTCTCTCTCTCTCTATCCCTCTCTCCCTTTCTCCCTCTCTGTCTCCCTTTCTCTCTTTCTCTCTCTCCCTCTCTGTCTCTCTTTCTCTCTCTCCCTCTCTGTCTCTCTTTCTCTCTCTGTCTCTCTCTGTCTCTGTGTGTGTGTGTGTGTGTGCACATGTGTGTCTATGTGTGTGTGCATGTGTGTGTGTCTGTCTCTCTTTCTCCTCTGACTGTGTCTGTCTTTCCATCTGTCTGTGTCTCTCTCTGCCTCCTTCTGTCTCTCTGGCTCATTTTTCTTTGTGTATCTGTTTATCTGTCTCTATATCTGCCTATGTCTATGTCTTTGTCTGTCTCTGCCCTGCCCCCACTTCTTCCTGCTTCCTACCGGTAAGGATTTAAAGCTCTCAGCTACTACTCTAGCACCGTATCTGTTTGCTTCCTGTCATGATGGTCATGGACTAATCCTCTGAAACTGTAAGCAAGTCCTCAATCAAATGCTTTCTTTTATGGGAGTTGCCTTGGTCCTGGTGCTTTTTCATAGCAATAGGAGGGTAAGTCAAACAACAGCATAGAGTCAGGAAATTATTGCCAATTGAGTAAATATAACATTTTATTCTTTAATGGGAGACATCTCCAGGGCCTGTGCGTGAACTCCTTGAGTGTGCAGCCCTGAGCCCAGTGGGACCATGCACATGGGTAAAGCCTTGGGTGGTGGGACTTGGGTGGTGGGAAAGGGAGCTGGGGATGGTGAGGCACGAGCACAGGGGGAGAGCTGGGTGGGGAAATTGGGGCAGGCCTAGGCCAGGACACGGCTTGGCTCAACTCACACTGCTCTTCCCACTCGCGCTCCTCCTTCTCACTGGCTTGGCAGTGCAGCTGGGCCTGCTTCAGGGTCCAGTAGAGTTCTTTGGCTCGCTGCTCCTCCTGGAGGCGAATCTGTTCTTCTCCTCGCCTCCTCTCTTCTTCCTCTTTCCTCTGCAAAATTATTGAGACGGAATGGTATTCGAATCGGGGAACTAACTGCCTGGGGGATTCTGAAGCTAGTCAAGCTGAGCTGTCGGGAGGAGAATGGCCGGCAGGCACCATTCTACTGCTGGTTCTTACACAACTGAAATGTGATTGTCACACTTGGTAAGAACCAAATGGATTGGCAAGATTTTATTTTATAAATTTTATTTGCTGTTTTGCAATACTTGGGATTGAACCTAGAGCCTCATTTTTTTTCCTGGCTTAAAAATTTCTTTATCTTAAAGAAGAATATTGAAATTTCTCAAATGCCTGTCAAGTACAGTAAGCTTTCTCTAGATTAACCCACATATGAGTTCTTATAAACACGGTATTACTTCTTTTTCAGAGGGACACCCTTCACCTGGAGGTCATTTTTTTCTTTCTCCTATGGGCAGTGCGGGCTGCTTCCTAGATACCTCTCCGCCCATGCTCCAGGACCTGCCTCTGAACCTTCTCTGAGACACAGCCCTGTTTCACGGGTAGCTGCTTTCCTTCTGCAGTCACTTATCTCAGGATACACTGAACCACTTTCTGAGCGTTTGCCTGAAAATACTGCTATGCCAGCCTCTCACTCCGCTACTAATTTAACTGAGCACAGAACCTGAGTAATTAAAAAACATTGCTACCTTGTCTTCCAGCATTGCTGGCACTTCTCTTGCTATGAGACTCCTGTTGTCTAGTCAGTCCGCCTGAGTCAGCCTCCTAAAAACTCCATCTTTTCTCTCTTAGTTTCTACATCTTGTCTTTTCTTGGTCTGCCTCCTTGTTCAAGTCATTGACTGACTCTTCCAACTGCTCCACCAGGTGTGAGCTGTTTCCTTTCTGTTGTGGCACGTGTGACTTTTTGAAGCCCTCATTCTTATTTGCTAACCGCCTCCTTCATGTGGCTGCATCCTGTATTTGTTTCAGAAGTGTGAGAGCCTAGCTCTCTGAAGATTGAGGCCTTTGTCTTTCTCCCTGCTCTGGCTGAGTTCTATTTCTTTTGTGTTCTGTTGCATTTATTTGACTTGGTGCCTGCCACTTCTAGAAAAGGAAGGCTTTCTTCAGATAGTCTTTCCCTGTCTGTTCACAGTGAAGAAGAAAGTCAGACTTGAATGGGAAGTTGAGTATATAGCCAACCTCACTAAGAGACGAGCTTTACTCTGTAGCTATTACATAAGGAACCAGCCATTGCTTTGAAGAACAATCAGGTGGAAGGTTCTGGGGCTCCTTTCTGTAAGATTATCTAGAATCTTCTATTCTTCCTGAGTGGTATCTGACCAGGAGTCAACAGTGAGCATGCTGCAGGCAGAATTGTCCTTAAATCCCCCGACCTGAGCCTCATGCTTTATGCGAAGTCATGGTCTGAAGTGCTTTATTTGTCAATTTCATCCTCCAGTTCCCTTCCCAGCAGAAAGGAGAGGGGCAGCCCTTTCTTCCAAGGCCAGACAAGGCCCTGCATGAGCTCTGGTCCCTTTTAATTTGTTTCTCATGTTCTCTGTTTCTCTCTGTGTTATATGAGTGTGGACACAGGCTGTGTCCTCGACTGTGTAGAACAGCAGCTTTTGGGCTGTGCTAGCCTTGAAATACTGCATTTTCTGAAGCAAGGGCATTGGTGGTTGTTTCTTTAATCTTTGTTTTTTGTTCTTTTTACTCTTTTGGGGGCCCACCACCCAGATCACAAATAAATCACACTGAGGCTTATTCTTACTTATGAATGCCTGACCTTAGCTTGGCTTGTTTCTAGCCAGCATTTTTTAAAATATCTTGTCTACCTTTTGCCTCTGGGCTTTAATCTTTCTATATACTACATAAAGGTATATATTTATTCTATATACTCTTCTTTACTTCTTACTCTGTAGCTGGCTGTGTAGCTGGCCTCTAATGTCCTCCTCGTCTCTTTTTCTTGCTCCCTTGGTCTTCTCTTCCCAGATCTCTCCTATTTATTCTCTCCACCTGCCATCCCTACCTACCCTTTCTCCTGCCTGTCTATTGGCTGTTCAGCTCTTTATTAGACCTATGAGGTGTTTTAGTAGATAGGCAAAGTAACATAGCTTCACGGAGTTCAACAAATACAAGATAAAAGAGTACAACACATTTGCATCATTAAATACATGTTCCACAGCATAAACAAATGTAACATCTTAAAATAATATTCCACACATGAGTTTTTTATTATATCTTTTACGTTTAATTTGTATGCATGCTTGTATGGGAGGCACATGCATGGCATGGCACTTAGGTAGAGATCAGAAAACTATTGGTGGGAGCTGATTCTCTTCTTCCACAAGGTGGATCCCAGGGATGAGATTCAGTTCCTCAGACTAAGTAGGCACATCTGCTAAGCCCTCTCACCATTCCTCCTCCACCCCCCCCCAAAAAAAAGCAGTTTTGACCTGAGTTACTATAGCCCAAGTCTAGGTGGTGGGATAAGATCACTGTCTTAGTTAGAGTTGCTATAGCTGGAAGAGACACCATGACCACGGCAACTCTATATTATAGAGAAAACACTTGGAGTGGCAGCTTATAGTTCAGAGGTCCAGTCCTTCATCAGCATGGCGGGGAGCATGGTTGCATGCCAGCAGAGGTGGTGCTGGGAGCTGAGAGTGCTCCATCTTGCAAGCAACAGAAAGTCAACTGACTGTCACACTGAGGGAAGTGCACCAGACTTTTTCTTTTGGACCACCAACCAACTCCTACATCATGACATGGAGACTTACTATATGTTATAAATGCTCAGCCTTAGCTTAGCTCTTATTTTAATATGTTTCTCTTTATCTATGTTTTTGCTTCTTTCTATATGTCCTACTTTCCTGCTTCTCCTGTTTGGCTAGCTGGCTGGCTTCTGGCCCCAAGCATGTCCCTCTCTTTCTCCCTAGTTCCCCTTCTTCTCTTTGTTCCTCTTCCCAGTGTGGCTACATCAGACAGATCTCCTGTCTCTATTTATTATTAGTTGTCTGTTTATTTAGCCTATAGAGGATGAGTGGCCAAGTCCAACTCGGCAGAGCTGTCAGACCCCAGGCTCTGATCTTAAGAATTCTGGTAATAGTAGTAGTTGGTGAATTAAAGTGAACAAAATTGATGTAGCTTTTGAATTAACTGTTAGTCAATAAATTATGGTTCTGTGGAAGGATACAAACAAGTTCACTATGCTTCTTACACAGCCCATTAGTGACAAGGGGGTTAAGCAGATGTCCCAGTAACTCCAGAACTCATTTCCACGGAGTCAGATTAGCCTACAACCCAGTGGCTTAGCTCTGGTTCCAAGAAGGTAGTAGTCTGATAACAGACACACACTACTGGCCAATATAGTGTTTTTTTCACTAGTTCACAAGAGATTTAGTTGCTGAGACAGAGCTAAAAGGGTGGTTTTAGGTGGCTATAATTATTAATAGAGATAAAAACGATTGTTCACCTTCCCTGTACACCCAGGAGGCAGCCCTAGCTATCTTCCCACTGCTCCAGGTTCAGACCTTGACTTAATATCTTTCCTTCCCACACATCTCTCTCCATTCTGTCTGGCAGCTCAGGCCTTTCCTTTTTTACTTCCCACTTCCTTCTGGTCAAAAAGAGGAATAGATTCAATATCATAAGAACAAAGCAAATGAAATGATGGTAGACAGGTTCACCTGCTCCACAAGAAGAACCTGCAGGTAAACTCACATCTTTAGCACCATTCCTGCAGTATTTGGTGCCTCCAAATCCTGGACCTCTGGGGTTCCAGACTGAGCCAGCTCACTGCCTTACCCTTCCTACACCTCCACTGAATTCTTGAATGTCTTGCCTCTGTCTTGAGATTTTCTCATATTTCCTCTCCTCTCTCATTTTTTTCTGTTCATATGTTATGCAAATTTTTTCTAGGTTTATGAACTGTATTAATGATTTAAAGAAGAAAAAGGTAATATAACTATAATTCTTAATCCTTTATTTTAAAAAATAGCATTTTGGGGAGCTGGAGAAATGACTTAAGAGCTAAGAGAACTGGCTGTTCTTCCAGAGGACTAGGGTTCAACTCCTAGCACTTCCATAAAAGCTCACAATAGTCTTTAACTCTAACTCTGAGGAACCCAATGCCCTCTTCTGTATTTCATGGGCACTACAGGCACATAGTACACAAATACACATGCAGATAAAATATTCATATACATAAAATGACAATGGGTAGTGGTGACCCATGCCTTGCTAAACAGAGACAGGTGGATCTCTGGGTTCTGAGTTCTGAGGCCAGCCTGATGTACAGCACAAGTTTCAGCATAGCCAGGGCTAAACAGAGCCATCCTGTCTTGAAAAACAAAACAGCAAAACAAAATAAAACAAAAAATTACTGATGTTTTCTGTTGCTTCTGAAATGGTTTTGATTGAGGACTTTTCTCCCAATGATCAGTTTGTACTTCTAAAATCATCAAGAGATCCATTCCTTAAGAATTAGAAACAGAAGCTAAAGAAGCTAACTGATTTTATTAAAATTACTGAGCATCTGTGAGACTCACAGGCCTCCTGTGGATGCAGTATGAGAAACAGGGTCCCCACTCACTCAGAGTTTACCTTCTGGTGGTGAGAAAATCAAACAAGTAAGTTAAAGTTCAATTAATTTCACAAAAGAATGACTAGTGTATATGAGCATGTTTGGGAGACTACCATAGCTATGTGACCAGGAGAACTGTCATAGGGGATGGCATGTGGTCTGATTCCCAAGTTACATGCAGAACAGGCAGATGGGCATGCCACAAGACCATGCCATAGGTCTCCAAAGGTGGCTGGTCCTAGGCAGGGAGCCACATGGTAGACGAGAGACAGAGACATGGATAGGCATGCCATGCAGAGTGAGGTTGGATATTTATTTAGTGGGTTAAGGAGGGGAAAGGGGAGAAGAGCAGAGAGAGAGACAGACAGACAGAAAGACAGAGAGAGGGAAGGGGAGAAGTAGGGAAAGACAGAAGCTGTCTCTTTGAGAGGGAGATGGAAAAGGAAGATACTCAGGCTGGAAGCTGAAGATCAGCCTGCCTTGGGGGGGGAGGAGGAATGGCTTGTCTCTTAAAGGGACAGGACAGATCATTGCACACTATCACTTACAACTCAAAAGAAAGAGTTGGAATCAGAAAACAAGACTAATAAAGAAAGCCAAGGTTAGGATAATAAGCTAGAAGGAAGGATGCCTGTGAACAACCAGAAAAAGGGAGCATGTAAGGCAAAAAGAGTAGTGAGCTGAGAGGAAGCCTATTGAGACATTACAAAGGGAAGAAAGCTAAAGCCAGTTGGGCATGATAATTGGAAGTGCCTGGAGAATGTGACAAGAGCAGCCCTCATGGAACAGAGGGACAGTTATCTAGGCACCACAGGGAGGAAGTAAAGATGACCATCAGAACATTCAAGATGAGAGAAATGTGGGGTTACAGTAGACAACACAGAGTGGCTCCTTAGCTTTTTGACTAAGATCCCTCAGAGGTAGACAGGGAAAGGACGGCTTTGCCATGGGAAATCCCAAGGCAGTTCCTGACTGATAGGAAACCGGAAGCCATGTTTCCAACTTTAGTCAAAACAGCTTACTATGCACCACAATCTTAGCAGAATGGGTATCCCTCCTCATGTTGGCACAACCCTTCATATTTTACCTAGCACATTTCCTTTTCCTCCCTCTGGGCTCCCTGAATTCTGACAATAGTCACTGTGTCACTGAGGCCACAAGATACCAGCCAAAGCAACCTGCCCACAGGCACATCAGTTACTTCACCCACCCATAGGGCCTTCCAGGCAGACAGCTGACTCCTGTCAGAGCCAGGAGTCTCAGATCCAAACTGTATGAAGTATCACTGTTATAAAGTATCACTGCCTATATGGCTTGAACAAGCACATGCTTCCTCGTAGTTCTACAGGTGGCCAGTCCTAACACATCAGCAGGGTTGATTCATCCTGAGGAGTCTCCTCAGCCTGCAGGTGGTCAATGCTGCTTTACCCTGTGTCCAATTTATTCTTCTTAGAAGGATACCAGTGATATTGTATTCAGGCCTAACCAACACTAAAGATTGCACTTTAGCTAAAATTACCTTTATAAGGTCCTTGCCTTCAAATACAATTATGTCCTGAAGTCCTGAAAGTTTCAATACTTCAGTGTAGATGAAGGGGGTAGGGGCAATTGAGGAGACTGCCCTCTAGAGAAGGATCAAGGGGTCAGGACTGGTGTGCTGATTTTCCCACATTACAATGTGACTAGGCATTACAGTGTGAAATTCCTACACAAGTCAGCTGTGGATGACAGGAGGCAGAACATTAAACAACAGTGTCATTGTTCAGCTACCTCGCCTCTTGAGAGTGCTACTGTAGCAGGGAGCCAGTGGTCTACGGCAACCTCCCTTCTTAAAGGAAAATGACTGGCCACTCACTGTGACAATGGCAGACCTCTTCACAAAGACCAAGACAACAAAAGAAAACAGTTTGCCACCACAAATCCACAGGATTGCATCTTGCGCCTCAAGGACTCACTAAAATGGCTCAACTCTCACAGCAAAAATCACTAAAATATTCTCATTGTTATGGCAACCATCAGAACTGTTGGGCCAGCCTGAGATCACTGAGGAAGAGGAGCTGGGCCCAACAGAGGAGCCCAGAATGTAAATATGAAATGTTCCATGGTGCCAAGTGTCCTGGCTATGAACCGCTGGAGGACAAGAACGAGAAGAGAGACAAGCACCCCAAACCGTGTTGGAAATCTTGAGAATGCTCCAAGCTTCTTCCCATTGTCAGCTGAGGAAATGTGGCTGAGGGAGACAATAGCAGCCTGGCTAAAGGCCAGAGTCTTCTTGTGAAGGGGTGGGATGCCAACCAGCCCTTTAAGAATCCAGACCCGGTCTCAGGACAGACTTGGGCTAACCACTAGAACAAGCCACCAAGAGTCCCGTTTTGAAGCTCCTGATAGGGCACTGCCTGAAACAGCGCCTCTCCTACAGTCTCCCATGTCTGAGGCTTCTCAAAGCAAAGTCGTGCTATATCAAGGTGCCTACTGCTACTAAAGTTCAAACAGGCATGTTTAGCAAGTTGAAGTTGAAAACGAACACACACACATCAGAAGTAGAACCTTCTTTGGAAATAACACCAGATACCTTTTTGAGTCCTTCAGTGACCTGAAGGCCTGGCCAGGTGGCCTCACTGATACCACTGTGAGCCCTGGCAGAGCACCCCACAATGTCTCCCTTCCATCACTGAGGCTTTCAAGGAGACCATTAACCAGAGAATCTCTACCAGAAACATGACCCCTCTGTGATCTCTCTGTGCAGTGAGCCCAAGACCCAGCTCTACCTCAGCTCACTCCAAGTGTCTAGACTCAACCCCGGGTATGGAAAAAAGAGGCAAATGGAGCCTATCATGACCACTGTTAGAGACACGGAAAAAGAAATACTTTCTTCCTCAGTCAGCTTAAAGCTAAATCATATGAAAACCTGAACTGCATAAACCTCTCTCCAATCTTGGGCCGAATATTGTATAAAGTGAGGGGAGGGGTTGGCACCTAATGTACAAGATGAGGGCAGGACCACTCCAACGTATAAATAAAGAGAAGGTTTTTATTGTAGATATGAGGGAGAGTACAGTCAGAGGCATCTGGAACATATCTCAACATCCCCACTGTGCAGCTGCGAGGGAGGAAGGAAGAGGTTTTAAAATGGGCAGATGCTGACAAGTGAAACTCAAAGGCTAACTCCTTCCAAAGCTGCGCAAAGGGAGACGGGCCCAAACTCCAGTTTAGCTCATAAGACCATGTCCCTGGGATGAATCCAGGCCCATTAAATTGACTCCCTCAGAAAGCTCAATAATGGCAGAAAAATGTGCAATGTGGTCTAGCCTGCACCTAACGAGGCTGCCTGTTCTTACAGCGCTCCCTACAAGGATGTTGGGCAGACATCTCTCTCAGCTCAGAAGCATGTGTCTGGATGCCCAGAGGGCTGTTCCTTGGCACTGTAATCAAGGAGGGGCTCCTTCCCCCAGCTTCTGATGGGGGACAGAGGTCCACTTCACCAACTGCTTGGCTCAGGGAACAGCATCTAATTAGAGGCTGACCTGCTTTTAGCTTCTTCACCCCTCTACCTCTGCTGAAAACAGGCTCTCCCCTGCCCAGTCGCTGAGTGCTCATTCCCACAAATCACCTCAGCCACTGCTGAGGAATAGCAGCTCTCTCCCCCACTGTCAAGAGTCACCAAAAAAAAACAAAACAAAACACAAAACAAATTTTGTTTTGTCCTTTGTTTTTGTTTTTGGCAAATGTTGAATACGAAACCCATATTTCTCTGCATACTATACTCCCAGCCCCAAACTCTATTTTCTTGCCTTGACTAAAGTCCAACTGTGTTTGAATTCAACAATGCAACTTACAAAACACCACAGTGTAGAAATTGAATATGATTTTTTTGTTTTGTGTTCTGCTTATTTGTGTGTATGTGTGTGTGTGTGTGTGTTTTCAACTAAATAAATGCATTGCACCTATAATGGAAAAAATTGCATTCAGGTGATTTAAACTTCCTACCTGTCGTCGCTGTGATAAAACACTGTGACAACAGCAACTCAGGGGGAAAGGGGTGATTTCAGCTCACAGTTGTAGGTTACAGCTCATCGCAGAGAGGAGTCATGGTAGTGGGAACTCAAGCAGCTTGTCGTGAGCAGAGAACGTAGATGCCTTTATGCTTAGACTCAGCTCGCCTTCTCTTTTCTACTTCAGGGTCCAAACCCAGGGCATAGTGTTCCCTTTTGTAGGCTAAGTCTTCAATGTCAATTAATGTAATCAAGATAATCTTCCAGAGACAGGTCCATGAGAGCCAACTCATCCAGGCAGTTCGTCATGAAGGACTCATTTCTGAGGTGAGCCTGCATTGTGTCAAGCTGACAATTAAAGCCAATCATCACACTACCAGAGAGCAGGGAAACCCATTTACCAGTTCCAAAATGCTCTAGACCTAGTTAATAACACCAAGTGACCAGACAGTCCAACCATCACACTACTAGCTGATCTGGTCCAAAGCCCAGTTCCTGGGGCCTCATTTTATAAAACACTCTGGGATGAAGAAGGCCAATAGTCTTTTCCTGAATCTGTACACAAACACCATTATGTGTGGCCTTGACAATTTCATTGTCTGGTCCTCATTTCCCTCATCTATACAACAAGAAGATGGGCCAAGGTGTGTCAACTTCCTTCTTTCTCAAGCATGCCAGATTTCTGTCTTATAACACACCTAAGATCAATGGCCAAGAAGAGATTCAAAACGAACAGGGCCACACCAAACTTGGAGGCTAGAGCAGGTGCCCCACACAGGTGCCCGATGCATTGTCCCACCTTGAATTCCTCATGTATACGTTCCTCCAGGACTTTGGCAGCCTTGCGATCCTCCATCTCCACTTTCCACCTCTCTGCCAGGATCCGGGCTTTCTCATTGGCCAAGGCATCCCGGAACTTCTGGGTGATTTCTGCTTCCTTCTGTTTCCTTCCAAGAGATCAGCAGCATGGGTAAGCTTGAGTGAAAAACTAGAAGACCATATCACAATGCAACTTCAAGTCAAAGCAATGAGCAACCTTGCCTTAGTACACAGAACAGCAAACACAAAGATTAACATAACTCATGATAACAAAGGAAGGGAGAGATAGGGACGGGAAGGTAAATCAATAGGACCATTCTGGAAGGTAAGAAACAAGACATGAAAATCCCATTTATCATTCAAGTAGCCAAAGCTTATATAGTAGCCAGCAGAGAAGTTTCAGGAAAAGAAATAAAAATCAATTCAGATGTCTATCAAAAATGTAAATAAGTTGAATTCCTGTGTAATAATAGACTACCACATGAGAATCTTCAACAGCCTCAGGATTTCAACTGATGGGATCTATCAACGGACAAATAAATATTTTTTATCTCTTAAATATTCTTCATGGTTAGCTTGGATGGTGGGTGTTCTTTAATTCAGTATAGTCTTAGTCTTGTTTACATTGTTACAACTTCATAACTAAAACACCATCATTCCGACTTGATGGTGGAAGATGCTAAAGACACCATCACATAAATTTCCAAGTTTGGCAAGGGAGAAAAAGTTAAAAGCTGTTGATGAAAAGAGTCTAACGCCAAACTTTCCTGAGGGCTCAGCTGTCCTATGGTGAACACATAAATAATATTCAGAGGAACAACAGAGAGCCACATGAAGCACAATTGCTAGACCATCCCTGTGAGAAGTTCCCACAGTGGCTGGGGCTGTAGAAATGGTTCAGTTGGTAAAATACTTACCATGTGAGCACAAGAAATAAATTCAGGTCCCTAGAGCTCTCATATAAATCTGGATGCAATATAATCCCAACACTGGGGAGACAGAAACAGGAAGATCCCTAAAATTCACGGCCACCCAGTCTGGCTATATTGGTGAGCTATGGTTTCCTTGGGAGACTCTGCCTCAAAAATAGCATGGAGAGAGACAGAAGGAGACATCTGACATTTACACATCTCTGGCTTTTACACATACAAGCACTCACAAACACAGGCACATGAGCACATGAGCAAGTGCCACACACATACAACATGCAGTCCATACCGTCCAGGTAATTTCAGGCTAGAGGAAGAGGTGTTAGGTTTCTAGGCCATATCACCAATGAAAGAAAACTGAGGTTCCAGATTAGCTGTCTGGTGGGTCTAACACTTGAACTCACAAGGTTTACTGAGGGGAATCTCTGGTGCCTTGGTTAGTTGATCTTGACAGAGCTCAACACAACTGAGAGCACCTCCGTTTTCCACCCACAGCTTAGATCTACCCAGGGCTCTAGGAGCAGGCCCTACCCAGTTCCCTCCCAGCCAGCACCTCTCACCAGAGCTCCTCAGCCTCTCTCTGGGCTTGCAGGCGTGCTCTCTCTGCAATCAGCTCCTCGGAGATCTCTTCATAGGGCTTGTCGCCAGGACCTTCACCCATGACCCACACCCAGACCTCGCCATCTGCTCCCAACAGCCACTGGATGTGCTTGTTGCTTGCTGCCTCACAGCGGAAGGGAGAGAGAAAAGAAGAAACACATAGTTTCCAGTTAAGGAACAGGCTGAACCGGAGCATCGCCATCACACAACTTGACAGACCAGCAGTGGCTTGAGTACAGATTCTGGTGCAGATTCAAGGCATTCTCTTACACCATCCCCTCTAAGGAGGAACATAAGAGCCAAGCCAGCACCGGAGGCTAGCGTCAGAGATGAGCTCTAATGAGGTCCACATCGGCAAAAATATCCAGGCTAGTGTAATGCTCAGTAAGAAACAACTTGTGCTGCTCCCGGGCTGAGGCAATCAGGTGTCAGCGAGTCTCCTTTGCCCTCTCGTTTGCCTAGCCAATGACTAGAAAGAAGGAATCAGAAATGGCAGCAATGCAAGATGAAGCAGCCTGGAGCCTCATGTCTCTGTGATATACATCATGCTGTAATTTGAGGAAGAAATGAACCTTTGCTGGATGCGGCCACCAAGAGCCCTTAGTCTGCCAATAACGGCAGGTTCCACTGATGTCTTGACGAGATCAGTGAGGTTCCTCAGTGACAGGGTTGTCACAGCAATAGAAACCCTGCATCCGGGTGGTGGATCTCCAAAGAGCTGGAGATCCATGCATGCAGGAACAAACTGCTGGTAAAAATGCCGCAGACTCATTAGGGCTTAAAAGGCAGACCCCGTTTTCTGAGTTGGGGGGGGGGCATGAAGCAATTGTAGTGTGTATTGGATGCATTCGACATGGTGTTAAAGAAAAAAAAAAACACCTAGAATTCAAGAAGGAATAAAGTGTTTTGCAGGGAGAAGTGAAAGAGAATGGAGAGATTAGAGAAATTTGGGTTTCAAATTGTAAGAGATGTACTGGCCGTGGTGGTGAATGTCTGTGATCTTCGTACTCTGCAGATTGAGGCAGGAGGATCATGAATTCTAGGGTAACTGGGCAATGTGGTAAAATAATCTCTCTCTCTCTCTCTCTCTCTCTCTCTCTCTCTCTCACACACACACACACACACACACACACACACACACACGGAAAGAGAGAGAGAGAGATGCAAAAGATTAAATTCTGAAGAGTTTTGCCTGACAAATCTCAGTTAGCTGTCTCTGGGAATGAGATGCCCCGGGACACAAAGCACAGTGTGGCTGTGCTCATGGGCTCTCTAACTCCACTACAGCAGATGCCACTAAATGAAACCGCCAGCCTCCAGGACCTGGTGTTTGCTCACAGTTATTTCCCAGAGGCTGCCCCAGTCTCTGACTGACAGGCCAGGCTCATGACTGAGGCATCTGACTCCTGGCCAAAACTTCCTTGCATTACAGGGCTCTCTGCAACAAGGCCCCCAGCCTCCCTCTCTCCTTTCTTTACTCAAGGTCAAGGAAGAAAATTTTAAATATTTACTTATTTTAAATAGTGACAAACTCATTGCATAATTGTACAAAATTGTTTTAAAAAAAAACCCAATATTTATAAGACAGCAGAATTATCATTAGGGCTACAATCACTGAGCCACTGCTCTCCAGGCTCCATTGTCTGCCTTTCTTCTGGATGCATACTTGATAGAACAATGATCAGAGTGAAAAGTCAACCTATGGGGAGAGAAAGGATTCTTGCAAACATACACCTCATTAAGAGCTAGCATCCAAATACATACGGAACTCAAGCAACACAAAATCAATAAAACAAATGATTCTGTTTTAAAATGGGTACAGAGCTTGAATAGACACCTCTCCAAAGACTCCGTACAAATGGCCAGCTGTGAGAGAAAACATTCAGCCTCATTAATCATCAGAGAAGCTCAAGTCAAAGCACTGTGGGATATCACTCCATGCGTTGGAAGAGTGAGCAGCAAATATATAAAGCTAAAATGCTTGGCAGAAGGAGCTAGAGCAGTGTTCTCAACCTGTGGGTCGAGACCCCTTTGGGGAGGCCAAACAACCCTTTCTCAGGGGTTGCATATCAATAACCTACATGCCCCATATTTACATTATGATTCATAACAGTAGCAAATTTACAGTTATGAAGTAGTAACAAATAATTTCATGGTTGGGGTCACTACAACATGAGGAACTGTGTTAAAGGGTCGTAGCATTAGGAAGATTGAGAACCACTGGCTGGAGAGATGCTCAGCCATTACTTGTTGCTCCTGTAGAGGACCTCAGTTCCATTCCCAGCACCCAGATGGCAGCTCATGACTATCTGGAACTCTAGTTCCAGGGGATCTAGCACCCTATTCTGCCCTAGTGGACACAGAATGCATGTGGGCGCAGATACACATGCAGGCAAAACACCCCCACACATAAAGCATTTTATTTATTTGGTTTTGTTGTTGTTGTTTATTTTTCAAGACAGGGTTTTTCTGTGTAGTTCTGACTGTTCTCAAACTTGCTCTGTAGACCAGGCTGACCTTGAACACACTGAGATCTGCCTGCTTCTGTTTCCCAAGTGCTGAGATTAAAGGCATGTGCCACCAGCGCCCAGAACTTTTTTTTTTAAATGAAAGCTTGGGAGAGCATAGAGAGAAAGGGACGTTTGTATCCTGCTGTAAGAATGTGAGTTAATGCAGCCATTGTAAAAAATAGTGCAGAAATTTCTCTGAAAACCAGGACTAAAGGTGTCAACATGTACACACACATGCGCACATAGATGTATGTAGCCAATAGACATTAAGTTGTTATGACAAAGATGTCTGCATAAGCATATTCATTATGGCCCTGTGCACAACTGACATGGGGTCAACCTGTGTCCACCAAGAGTCATGAACACATAAAAACAATTTTAAAAATTAAGGAATGAATAATGAAAATTTAATACCATATTACAGTAGAATATACTATTTGAGCCTGGAAAAGTAGGAATTCATATCATTTTCAACCATCTAAGTGAACCTAGGAGGAGGGAAGACTGTGTGAAGTGAAAAAAGCCAGGCACAAAGATGCAAATATCATATGAACTCACACGTATGTGGATGTACAGTGGTTACCTGGTGTGGGAGGTCCTTCTTTCTATGTGTTGCTTTTATTGGTAAATGAATAAAGAAACAGGCAGTGGCTTGTTGATAGGGCAGAACTTAGGAAGGCAGGGAATGCTAGGCTGAATGCTGGAAGGAAGAAGGGCAGAGTCAGACAGACACCATGTAGCCGCCAACCAGAGACAGACTCAGGAACTTTAGCCAGTAAAGCCACAGCCACTTGGCAATACACAGATTCATAGAAATGGATTAAATTAATTTAAGAGTTAGCCAATAAGAAGCTAGAGCTAATGGGCCAAGCAGTGATTTAATTAATACAGTTTCTGTGTAATTATTTTGGGTCTAAGCTAGCCAGGTGCCAGGAACCAGCAAGCAATCCTTCTTACTACAGTTATCAGAGAATGAGGAACGGGATTAGAGAGATGGTGGAAAAAACACATGTATCTCTAGTTGCATATATGGGCAGCACTAACTGGACTTAATAGGTTATTTTTAAAAAAACAAACAAACATGAAGTTAGGAAGGGATATGTTTGGGCGATAGGAGGAATTGGAGGAGAAAAAGGGGACAGAAGATAATATTTCATTGCATAAATGTATGAAATCTTCAAAATAAAAATATATAAAGAACATCTATCACATTAGTATACAAACTTTATCTTATCCTTAAAAATGGTAAAAACATTATGTATACCCAAGATTTGTTTTAAGATATATTTCTCTATGATTTATTATTTAAAAATTGGGTATTGTTTTACACTTTTGCAAATCTATTGACTATCCAGCCTGATTAAAAGGAAACAGGGTTCTTGTGTCTTCCGACTTTACCCTTTATAATAGATAATTTTGGTTGATGCACATTAAAAAATTGTCAACATGCATTTGGAAGAAAGAGAAGGCATTTCAGCTTTTCCCCAGGTAGCCTTAGATACTGAAGTAAGATTCAATAAGTTATGGATACTCTTTTTGTTTACTTACTTATTTAGAGATAGGATCTTGCCTATGTAGCTTAAGCTAGCCCTGAACTCATTTCCCAGTGGTCTTGAATGTATGATAGTTCTCCCACCTCGGTCTCCCCAGTGCTTGATTGTAGGCATGCGCCACCACCATGCCCAGCTAGTTGCAGGTTGCTAAAGGTTAGTTACAACATAGAAATCTAAACCACACCAATAAAGCCATTGAGTTTTGACATTAAAAGTCATTGATTGTGATGACATAAGGGTACTACACATTAGGCGAAGTTGGGTGGGAATGCTGTAGGTATTCTCCAAACTCTTGAAATTCTTCTCAAATAAATCTGAATTACTTCAAAATAAAAAGTCTAAAGATTTTTTCGTAAGACTTTATTTTTTATTTGTTTTCGTGTGCGTGTGTGCGTGTGCACACGTGCATGAATACATGCACGTGTGTGTGTGCACGCACATGCATGAATGCATGCAATGTGTCCATGTGTGTATGATGAACAAGGACACTGATCTCCTGCAGCTGCAGTTACAGGTGGTTAGGACTGGCCTGGTGTGGGTGCTAGGAACCGAAACTTGGTCCTTAAGAAGAGCAGCACTGAGCCATCTCTCCAGCCTCAGTCTTTTGTACTGGAACTCACTGTATAGATGAGGCTAGCCTCAAACTCACATTGATCTGCCTACATTTGCTGGAATAGAAAGCATGTTTTTGTATGTCTCCATGATCCCAGCTACTGAGCAAGCAGTAATGGAAGAATTAGCACTTGAGACCAGTATGGCTACAGAACAAGACCTTGTCTCAAGACAGACAGACAGACACACACACACACACACACACACACACACACACACACACTCTCTCTTTAAGAATAAAACTCCACTGGCTCATATTGTACTTTGAACAGACCTTGTACTTATGCATGACTTTGCTACTTTGCTCATTGGGTCAAGATATCAAACAGATCTTCTAACCATAGGTTTTACCTTAACAGTATCAGAAAAGATACATTTTAAATGCAATCATGATCTTACTAGAAAAAGTGCTACACATTCCGCGATCTGTAAGCTCCATGTGATGGATA